TGGCAAGGGCCCAAGCACTTGGACCATCTTCGATTGCTTTTCCAGGCCATTAACAGGGAGCTGGATGGAAGTGGAGCAGCCAGGACATGAACCAGTGCCCATATGGGATGCTGCCATCACAGTCAGCAGCATTACCTGCTTTGCCACAATGCCACCCCCTCCTTCTATTTTTCTATAAATTTATCTGATTGTGTTATTGGTTCGAGCTCTCAGAACCTGCTCTGGCTCTGGGAACTGCCCAAATTGCAAATTACTTTTGTTTTACTGTGCTTTGTTCAAATATACTCTATTAAATCTAACTGACCTGAAGAATTTTCCTTTTAGCAGTATTTTTTTTTTTTTTTTGCAAAAACCAGACTGCTTCTTAAAGAAGTTTTTTGTTATATGATGTTAAACAGAATGGGTGAAGGTCAAAGGAGAACAGCTGCGTATGGTTTGGCTCCCATATTGATGGCTGTCATGGGCTCGCACAGTGTGCAGAGTTAAACGCTTGATTCTGATGTGTCAGCCCCTCTGTCTCACACTTCCATTCTGAACTCATCACCAATAGACTCATGGCTTAGCCAGTCTTAGCATGGATGAGATTGGGGAGTTTCCATGGATTAACACAAAACTTTTTTTTTTAAACTTTTATTTAATGAATATAAATTTCCAAAGTACAGCCTATGGATTACAATGGCTTCCCCCCCCATAACTTCCCTCCCACCCGCAACCCTCCCCTTTCCCACTCCCTCTCCTTGTTTCATATTAATTCTCTCCTAACCTAGCTCTGAATATTGAGAGCATCAAATAAGATTTGACTTGGTGTCTTTGTGTTTTAAATTTATAAAACACAGTTGATATTTGATTAATAAATACTCACTGAATAAATTGTTAGAATGATGCTGGAAGACTAAAGCACACTATTATTATGTAACTTATTCAGCCTGACCACTTATAGACATTTAATGTAATGTAACATTCCTGTCAATATGTGATAGATTTTGTTTTTAAAAAGACAAATTATAACATTTATTGAAATCATGTGGAATATAGTGTCATATGATTTCACCTCTTCTTACAAGCTGTTATAAACATTTAATATAATTAAAATGAGACTATATGGAAAATCAAATTGTATAACCAATGCTCTAAATGGAATTCATTGCTAAACTATTAACCCAGTGACCTATGGTTTTGTAATACAGGTAATCAGTTCTACATAAAAGAGACAAATTATAGGATAAATTTGGAGAAAAAATAGCATTAGATATGATAATGATACAACTATATAACAATCACTTGAAAAAAATGATTTCCTCTTATGGTCTGGAAGACATCACTGGAAAGAATTTTAATGTTAAGACTATTGTACCTGAGTTCTGCTTTAATGTGTTTATAAAAACAAAAATAGAAAGTCCTCCCATGTTTGTGGAGTAGAAGGATTAATATCATTAAGATGTCCATACTATCAAAGTGATTTACAAATTAAATGTAATACACATCAAAATACAAATGACATTTTTGACACAACTAGAAAAAAATTCTAAAATTCATATGAAAGTACAAAAGTCCTCAAATAGCAAAAACAATCGAGTAAAAGAAGCAAAGAAGTGGGTATCATAATACCTGATTTCAACACATACTACGGAGCTACAGTAATTCAGAGCATTACTGGCATAAAAACACATACATAGGGGTTGAAATTGGCCTACAGGTTTAAGATGCCTCTTGGGATAACTGCATCCCATATCAGAGTGTCTGGGATTGAGTCTCAGTCCCACTCTTGATTCCAGCTTCCTGATAATGCACATCCAAAGAGGAACACATTTATTTGCAAACCATACATCTGATAAATGATTAATATATTAAATATATAAAGAACTTAATAACCAAAATATAATCCAGTTAAGAAATGGGCAAAGAATTGGAATAGATATTTCTCAAAGGAGAAAGTACAAGTGGCCAATAAGTACATGAAAAAAAAGCTCAATATCAATAGTCTTTCAAAGAAATGCCAATCAAAACCACCGTGTGCTGTCATCTCACTCCAGTTAGAATGGTTCTTATCAAAAAGACCAAAATAGCAAATGTGGGTGAAGATGTAAAGAAAAAAGAACGCTTATACACTATTGAGGGGAAAGCAAATTAGTACAGTCACTATGGGGAACAATATGGGGGCTCCTTGAAAAACCAAAAACAGATCTACCATATAACTTAGTCATCCCACATCTGGGTACATACAGAAATGAAATGAAATCAGTACATGAAAGAAAGATGCTTGCTCTCTCATGTTCATTGCAGCACTATTCATAACAGCCATGACAGAATCAGTCCAGGTATTCATTGAAAGGTGAATGGATTAAAAACAAAAGATGATGTATATACAATGGAATATTACTTAAAAGTAAAAAGAATGAAGTCCTGACATTTTCTTTTTTTTTTTTTTTTAGTCTTCAGCTATTATCAGAGCTTTATTTTTTTCTTTTATTCAATAAATATAAATTTCCAAAGTACAGTTTATGGATTACAATGGCTTTTTTCCTCCATAACTTCCCTCCCACCCATCGTTATAATGCATGCAACTGGTGATCATTATGATGAGTGACTTAAGCCAAACACAGAAAGACAAATGCTGCATGGTTTCTCTCTTATGCAGATGTTTAAAAAATGCCATCCCAAATTTAGAATAGTGATTACTAGGGACAGAGAAGAGTTGGGGGTTGGAGAAAAAGAGGAACAAAACAGTGAGATGAAGTAGGTTCCATCTTCCACAGCACAGTGGGCAACTGTGGTTTGCAACAGTGTTTTTTGTGCTATATAAAGAATAGGGGGAGAGGAGCTGGCAGGCTCTAAGCATGGAGGAAAAGTGGGGAGATGGGAATGCTGATTGTCTCTTTAGAGTTTCTGTTGTGTGCCTCTGTCGAAATATTAGACTGTGCCCTATAAAGGTGCATCTATCACAGTGAAAACTGATTCCTGGCTGACACTTTGCATCTTGTAGAAGACCATATAAGCAGCATCTGCATTCCTGATCCAGAGACACTGTGAGAATAAACTTGTGCTGCTTTAAGCACTAAATATTTGAATATTTGGAATATTGAGGAAATGAAATTGTTTTGACAGGAACACCACAGACATATGGAAAAACACATTCGTATAGACACAGAGATAAACAAACATAAGCAAACTGGCCTTTAAAGGAGAACAGCTTGATTTTGTGAAAACTACAATACCATTTTTGAAAGCTGGCTGCATTCAAATTAAATAGTATTTACCTTTAATTGTTTATAGTTGGATACATTCAACAGACTACTTCCTAGCTTGGCAGGGAACATCAACAGTCTCCTTAGATTTTGTCCATGGAACAGCCAGCTGCTAAAGCCAATCTGTTTAGGCCTGCCTTTACAATCTGTGTTTGGAGTCAGGCTGGAGAAATATGCCTGGGCCTGGAGCAGGACTCCATTGCTCAGTTTTTCCTTGTCTCCTCCAGCCCTACTCATTCCTAGGGATCTATTAAAATCTGCACCATGTAATCTGCATGGACTTTTAGGGAGGTTTATTCTTTCATTAAATGTGCCAGGCCCTGATTATCACACAAATTGGATTAACTCTAGCTGTCCTTTACTCACAAATGCCCTTCCTTATCTACCTATTAGCGATTCTTAAATGCCAGGTCAGATGCACAGTCTCTGAAAGCCATATCTGATGTTGCATCCAGTCGGATTTAGATCCTTTTCATCTGTACTTGAAGAGCACTCCATGAAACATGTGGACCTGGTAATTATGCACACACTGCTTCATTCCTTCTTTCAGGAGGCAGAGACACTGCTCTCAGTTCAGGGCTTTACACGGCGTAGATATTTAATGAACACTTGAGAACTTCTATTTTTCAAAAAGGTTCCACATGCATCTGCACACTCATTTTAACTCCCCAAATATCCAGTTAATAAGCTGGTAAGGATTAATTTGTAAATGTGAAATGAGTTCAACTGATGGAGAAGAAGCGAAAGAGAAGATTTCCTATAATGATAGTGCCCCATTATCAAATGAATCACATTACATATCAATTTCTTTTATACACACAGTAAATTTTAATCAATGTTCTCCAACAAGAAAAGATACAGATAAGGATAACTGAACTGAGATGATACTAAATGAGCTTTCCTTGTTTAAATATTAAAAACATGCACTGAAACAATAAGTAAAATGCAGATAAAGCCCTAGTAATAAAATCCCATGTGAGGTGTTGGTGAAGCTCATGAAGAGACTTACATCTTTTGTCTTCTTTTTCATTGAGATATATCGACGACCTCAGACTTAATACCCATCCCAGATCAACATCCATGTAACCCCATCTGACCACAGCCAATAACTAACACCAAATAGCAAATTAGCTGACCATCATGGATTTACAAATCGTATCTGCCATGTTCCAATATACTTCAGAGGAAAGTAACTATTCTCTATCACAAGCTCTGTTCTACTCTTACTTATTAGTCCATCACTCCATGGAAGTGCTGAAGAATTGGATGAATAATTCTCCTTTAAGGTAAAAGCTATGTTGAAATATTTAACATTTGCAGCTTAGAACATACCGAAAATCAGCTTTAGCAGAACTAGAAGTACTTTTATATACCTGTATTTGAATTAGCAACATGTAACATCTAGAGCAAATTGGAACATACTCCTCACAATGGAATAGTAGTTATGGGAATATACCCTGGAGCCAGATTATCGAGGCTTGACTCCTTGTTATTAGCTGTGCGACTTTTCATGAGTTACTTCTCCAAGTCGGTTTCTTTATCTATTTAAAAAAATAACAAAAGTGTCTTTCTAAAATGACTGGTGTGGACATAAATTAAGACAGTGGTTGTATAGTACTAAAAAGAGTGCCTACCACATACACACTCCTCACTAAATGTTAACTACCATTAATAGTCTGCCTCATACTTAGTCTCCTATGATGTCAACATCCCAAAGTGAACACTTATCAAGTGTAATAATTTAAAAATTATCATTAGGCCGGCGCCGTGGCTCAATAGGCTAATCCTCCACCTTGCGGCGCCGGCACACCGGGTTCTAGTCCCGGTCGGGGCGCCGGATTCTGTCCCGGTTGCCCCTCTTCCAGGCCAGCTCTCTGCTATGGCCAGGGAGTGCAGTGGAGGATGGCCCAGGTGCTTGGGCCCTGCACCCCATGGGAGACCAGGAAAAAGCACCTGGATCCTGGCTCCTGCCATCGGATCAGCGCGGTGCGCCGGCTGCAGCGGCGGCCATTGGAGGGTGAACCAACGGCAAGGGAAGACCTTTCTCTCTGTGTCTCTCTCTCTCACTGTCCACTCTGCCTATCAAAAATAAAAAAAAAAAAATTATCATTAGGTTAGTTAACAAAATAACATATCTCATGATCAAAATAATTTAGGTAGACAATTAATGTAGTTTTTTTTTTTTTGCCAACATTAACTTCTTTTATTAAAGAAGAGAGACATAATGTCCCTTCATATAATACTAAAAATAATAGGGCCCAGAAGGTTTTGGTTGTGAATTAAATTGAAAGTATGTCATTGTTAAAATTAAAAGAAAAATTAGAAAAGAAGGAGGAGGGAAAAAGTAAAAAAAAATAAAAATCAAAGTTATTGATAATTTCAACTAAAGGTAGTGAGATAGATTTGGGGACTAGAAGAAATGCATGGCTTATTAACCATATCACTGATGGTATTTCCAAGAGCATGCAGTAAACACTGGAGGCAATACTCAGAACAAGTCATGTTCAATGAAGCTCAATCCATTTTTTGACAGAGTTTTAGCTTCAGAGAAGCTGTACATACATGGATTTCAACGTGCTTCTGACAGTCTTATATGACATTCTCACAGATAAACCTGTGAAATGGGATGTGAATAATAGCGTTCTTGCTAGATTAATGGCTGGGTGCTGGTTAAATACTGTATTCAGTACATAGCTTGTGACCAACTCAGAAACATGACTCAAAGGAAGCTTAGTTTTGTCAACAACCTGGATGAAGACAAGGAAAGCTGGTATATCAGTTTTATAGGTAACAGAACAAAAACATATTTTGGAAAAACATTTATTTTGAAGTGTTGAATAGAAGGTAGCAAAAAATTGAAATTTAATGTTTGCACTTGTAAAGTTCTACATTTAACTAAAAGACAATGAAACTATGGGAGAGATGTAAACTTAAGCAGTTTTTATGGGGGAAAAGAAGGTAAGGTAAGTGATGTCAATTACTTGCATACAAGGAGAACAAGGAGAAGAGTTCTCACCACGGGGAAAGGGTGTTTCGCTGTGCTCAGTGTTGGTCGCATCCTGCCTGGGTGTCCTGTTTACTTCCAACTTACCTGTTAACCTTCAAAAACTATGGACAGATCAAAGATTAAACTCAAATGTGGATGGATAATAAAACTGCACACCTTTGTCTGCTGTTTGCTGGTTCTAAATTCCTATTTGTTAAAGGAATATGATGAATAAAAGAGAAGAAAGGAGGAAGGATGGAAGGAAGGAGAGGTGAAGAAATTAAGGAGGGTTATCTGGAAGAATGAGATTTTCAGGAACAGGAATTATAGTTGTTTCTTTATGCCTTCATGGGGCATGACAGACCAATGGTGTGGAAAGCACAGAAAAAGGAGACTTGAGTCTATATGGAGGCGGTAGTACATGAACTCCAGGGAGGAGCTGGAGTTCTGCTTACTTGATCACACTACTACATTTGAGAGTACTTGAGCTATAGTTTCCCCTGCTCAGAATTATTCTCCTCTCCAGGTTCTTCCATTGTGTAAAATACACATTTATCTCAATTCCTAAATTTCTCCCTATTTTCTTTCTCTCAACTCTCTCAAGGTATCGTTGGAGGCTTAGACAGTGTTCCCTCAAATGCAAAGCTGGAGTCTCCTGTAATGTCCCTTCTCTCTCCTCCCAACCTAGAAGTTGAAACTGATTTACAAGCATGTAATGTGAATGTATAAACACCATCTTGCTTTCTTATCCTAGACTATAAACCAGCAATGAGACACAGTGCATTGAAACTCAGTCTGGAAATTCCCTTATGGTTATATTTTCATTTGCCGAAAAGAAAGTACACATAAATTCTCATTCTTAAAAAGCACATGTGAATGAGAGGATCCATAAAGTATATTGCTTCTAGTTATGAACTAGAAATCTGGGAACTCGGTACTTCCTTTCCTCCGTAGACAGCTTGCCTTGGTTTCACTGAGTGGTGCTTCCTGAATTCAGGTGCAGGTGTTAATTAGTCTGAAGGCACATAAATCTAGAGAGGAGGGTAAATGGAGACCATATGGAAAGAGAAATAAAATCAAAACAGAAGTTGTTTTTGATGATATGCATGGTTTACAAAGTTTCAAAACAAGAAGGCAAGCTGGTGGATGGGAATATTCTCCATCTCTCCTACTGAAATAGGCTGCCAACATGACACATTTATTACTAAGAAATGCAATTGTCTTATTGTTCTCTGCCTGAATATTTATGAAGTTTATAGTTCATATGTGGCATTTCCATAAACTGCCTTGATTAATGAATTTAATTGTAAGTGCTGTGAGCTGATTTCTTATATTGCATTTCATTTTGTTTACATGCTTGGAATGAAAGTAAATTTTTGTATTGAATAACACTCACTGGATTTGAATCAGGTGACAAAGCCATCGAGCAGTGCAATGTGAGTACAGTGAAGTGCGACTGCAAAGTGAGCATGGGTGTGAACAGAGTACAGGTATGTGGTGCTCACAGCCCCCTGAGCTCAGCCAGGGGACTTCTTTATAACCGCCGATGCCAGAGCTTCAAAACAAAGACAGATGTGAAGTTCTCCTCCAAGGACGGTTCTCTGGGTACACAGGATCTGAGGGAGAGGGAGTTTCACAAGGTTGGAACTGTTAAATGGTAGGGAGGCATCGAGGAAGGAAATCATGGAAGTGAACTATTGGTCACCTCCCCGGCTCCTGTGATCTCTGCTTTGCCCTGCAAAAAGATGAACTAGAACGAATGTGGCACTGATCTTGGGCCACTAATCTGTCCTGCTCCTGGGACTACCTGTTACCTCTTCTCTCTGTTTCTCTGTCTCTGTCTTTCTCTTTATATTCTTGTAATTTTGACATTCCCAAAGGTCTGTATCTACATATTCCATCATTTTTACAATTGCCACCCCCAAATTGTAGCAGAGTGACGCTCATTGATTTAATGGACCTTAATATTTTTAGTTGCACTTAAAGGGCTTGAATAAGGGTCCTAAAAAGATATATGTGTCTAAATATTTTATTTATATATATTATATATAAACAGATTTATTATAATCTAAAAATGCAGTAATTTTACATGCACTCACTTGAAAATTACTCTATTTAAATAAAAATGTTACTACACCTAACTCAATACAGGCCAGAAAAGTACAATATTGTAGACAGGTTCATTTTTACTGCACACTCTTCTGTCCTCAGATTATAATTGCTACTGGTTTTAGCAATTCCTGAGAAACCCCAACTTTAGCCCTTTATATTAAAAAGAACACACATTTAATCATATTTTTGCTTTAAGTCAATTGCTCTGCATCTCAAAATACACCATCTTCATACATATTCCATTTTAATTCGACTTTAAAATAGCATAAATAGGGCCAATGCTGTGGCTTAGCAGGTAAAGCCACTGCCTATGGTGCCAGCATCCCATATGGGCACTGGTTCAAGGCCCAGCTGCTCCACTTCCAATCCAGCCCTCTGCTATGGTCTGGGAAAGCACTAAAGGATGGCCCAAGGCCTTGGGTCCCTGCACCTGCATGGGAGACCCAGAAGAAGCTCCTGGCTCCTGGCTTCAGATTGGCGCAGCTCTGGCCATTGCAGCCATCTGGGGTGTGAACCAACAGATGGAAGACCTCTCTCTCTTCCCCTCCCCCACCTCTCCTCTCTGTGTAACTCTGCATTTCAAATAAATAAATAAATCTTTTTAAAAAACCAGCATTTAGCACAGAACTTTAGACTGTTTAAGGATACTGTATTTATAATCCTTTGTTTAAAACTATTTTTTCTCTATCCCAAAGCATCCAAAAAGTTGGACATTATGCCCTTTTTAATGTTATTTCCCCCAGTAATTAAGTCTTTTAAAATGTGAAAGTTTGAGGCAAGCACAAGGACACTTGGTTAATAATGCAAGAATGCCTTCATCTGTGAAGTGCTCCCTCTACATATTTATTTCCACTGTATATGGAGATGACTTCTTTAACACAGCATCCCAATGGATTATCAGTATTACCTAACTCTAAGTCGAGTGATCACATAAGCCAAGCTGCCCTTCTAGAAAAGGCTACAAAAGGATCAGATACCTCTTCCCTGGGAAAATGCATCTCTTCAAAGTCAACGAAAAAGAGATTCTAGCTGTCGTATTTGAAAGTCCAATGTATCTTTGAGCAGTGCAACCAATTTGTGCTTCATATGGATACAAGCTCAATGCTTGGCATATCACTTGCCAGAGAACAGCCATACCTATTCTAGGAACCTGGAGTTGACTGAAAATTGGCCCAACAAAAGAAAGGTCTGCCTAGAATCTGTGAATATGATCCTTATATTGAAAAAAGGGATCTTTATAGATGTGGCCAAGTTAAGGGATCTCAAGAGGAAATCATCCTGGAGTAAGGTAGATCTTGAATTCACTGATAAGTGTACTTAAAAGAAGAAACAGAGAGTGAGAAAGTCCACAGGCCACAGGAAAGTGGAGGCAGATATTGGGGCTTTGCAGCCACAAACCAAGAGGGCCCGGAGCTGCCAGAAACTGGGACAGAGGATAGGAATGCAATCCTCCCTACAGCCTCCAGAAGGGTCATGTGCTGCCAACACCTTGAGTTTAGGCTTCCCTCTCTTAGAATCATATATTTCTGTTGTCTTAAGCTACCAAGGTTGTGACCTTTTGTTATGGTGTCCTGAGAAAACCAATAAAAGATTAATCTTATCCTGAGATCTGAGTCCTTCCAGTGATGCTGAGAGGGGGCAGAAAATCAGGTAGAGCAGGTGCTGTTGATCAATGAGAGAACACCGCTGTCTCCACTACAGGGCCTCCTCACCATCAGCAGTAACCGAAGCCCATGATAAACACTAGGAATGTAGAGGAGGACGTGGTGATCTGTCCCAACACAGGGAATCTGGAAAGACTGTAGGTACAAGT